GTGAGGTGCGGGTTCGACTCCCGCCTGGGGCACGACTTTTGCCCACAACTCAGCATTCTTGTGATAACATTCGGAACGCGTACTGCGGCGTTAAACAGCAGTTATCATAACAAAAGAGCCCTGCTGTGTTACTCAAAGCGGGAAGCTTTTGGTATGGTCCAGTGCCTTTTTAAGATGCGCCATCCGTTGCCTCCTTTACGATCTTCACGACCATAAATGCTTTTTTAATGCAATCTGGCCTACACAACGACTTGGTAGGCCATCCACAGTACAATTCAGTGGTTTCCTCTTCCCTGACTATTCTGTTATGTACCAGTTTATAGGATCAGTGGGAAGAGAGCCTTTCAGCCCGGACGGGAGCCGATCTGGGACTTGAAACCCTCATGAAGAGCACCACCACTTGCCATTGCATCACATCCACAACTCTACTGCTTGTTAGTAGGGGGAATCGGAAGAGTGTACTATCTGAAGTGTTGTTTGGGCTGTTATGGTTGTTTCCACGGTGGACCTGGTTGAGGTGAGCTAAGGGTAGGGTGTAGTTGAGCACAACCGAGAAGCGAACACTTCTCACAACACTCAGGGCACTTGTCAACCGGGAAGGCCTCTCCTCTCTTTTCTTTTTTCTTCCTCCTTCCTTCTTTTCCTTCCTTCCTTCTCTGATCCCTCCTCCTTTACCTTCTCCCTTCAACTACTGGACTGGTAGATGCCTCGTGAAAATACCCTGGACCCTCGCAGCGAGAGCACGTCTGGTTGACAAGAGCCCCGTAACCCGAAAAACGTTGCCCATAGGGCCACAGGTATTACGCGCACAGCATTCGCTTCAGACTCAATTAATGTAGCATAGGGGTGCTGTCGCATGTCAAGTCAACTAGCTACTAGATATCCGGCTTGGCTCGCAAGGGACTCTCAGATGTCCCAAACTAAAATGGAGCGCCTAACCTAGACGTGCGTGAAAACTAGGCTCTGAAAACATGTAGCGTGGGCCTAGATAATGTTTCCGCTAGCTTGCTAGCAACTGCTGGGTGGACATGTATAGCGTTCTCCCGACAGGGACAGAGGGTATAGCGAGAAAAAGTGGCTTTATTCCACGGTTCTACTTAAAAAAACTTCTGCTGTTCACCTCAAAAATCCTAGTATTTTAGTGAATCTCTACAAGTTCTTCACCAACAAAAAAAGAGGCACCGAATCAGTCTTAGGAATAATTTAAAGATGAAATAAAATGAAAATAATGAATCAATTTTCTCCTTCTCTCATTTGAATTGACAAACCTTGTACTAGAGATTTTAGATTTTTTAAATATATCGTTGAGAGCTCCATTTTTTTCAGGAGTTACTTCATGCTGACGTCGCTTTTAAATGAAAGTCTCGACGTCAAGTATGTAGAAGGTACTAGTGCTTGCCTATTGCTCCCTTACTGTGACCAACGACTTCAAGGGATGTTTCAGGTAATGCGAGAGTGGAATATTCCGTCCTCAATCATATGGCCGGTATACGCCATATTTTACCGCAAAACTGGAATAATGACATCTTGGCCACTGTGATTGCCTCTCCTCTGTACTGTAAGCAGAAGGTTCGTAGTACAACCAAACTGTTTATTCCGATCTCAGGTGAGTTACTGATACCTCAACCCTAAAAGATGTCCTCACCTCCTTTTCCTTTAGATTCGCGTGAGCGTCAACCCGAGCGTCTCATGGACGTGGGAATTCGCCTTCCGTACTCAACGATCCAATCAGAATCTTTTCTCCCTTCATACCACCAACTCCGGAACACGCTTCGTCCGTTCTAGAACAAGGTGAGTCAAGCATTTTCACAGTGACAAAGCTGGTTTATGTATGTCAATTTACAGACTACTTTCTGCTTACTGATTCATCTGATGGGCTCATTCCTGTTGGCCAGTTGTCCGACGGGCGTTGGCACACGATCAGCATCCACTCCAAGCAAGGCGACATCTTCTTCACGGTAGACGACTCTGAAAAGATTCCCTTGGCAGAGTTGGATCTCCTCGAATCGAGGTAAGCGCTGGGAACTGACTTGGGATTATTCAGTTCAAAAGGCACATTCTTCACTGATCGTGTGACATGGGCAGGGCTACTTGGACTACTACGCCGTTCTCATTGACTGCTCTCACTCTCTAGTATGATGAAAAGAAGCGAAAAGAGCGCTGTAGTCCAAGGGATCCCGCCCATATAGACTTCCTATTCTGGACGGAGTAGGCGTGGCTTTTGAGCATGGCATAGGACGGGTTTCTCGTGGGATACTTCAATTTGAAACAACTGCTATCTTGTTCTGTGTTAGATGTAGACATAGACATGATCACGACTGCTCCAAAATGGCAAACATAATCACGAAAACGCTGGGGCCGCCATTATTGAAGTCCAATTACGCAGCCAGCGGCCTACCGATCTCAGGGAATTTCGTACTATATAACTAACGTGGAATGGCCACTAGTGAGCTGGCTCGTCCTTCGTTTTCTTTTGATGGCTGGAAAATCTAGTCTCTCGGCACAAAATTGATTTCATACATCAGGCCAGGCTAAATTTTTCTATTGCAGATTGTCTGCCGTAGATGTCGAATTGGATGGTGACATCCTGCTCATCGATCCATCGGATACTTCAGAAAATTGCGACCTGAACGGAAGAAGAAAACCTTACGGGTGAGGACAGCCGAGAAATTTCTTCAGCGTTTCCGACCTGGAATCAATTCATAATTGAGGAGCAATCATTTCTACCCTATACTTATGAGTGGATTGTTACTAAAACTGCTCAGAAGTTGAGTTTGTAGGTCAGCGGGTCCCTCATTGCCCCGAGAATTTACCCCTACGTGCTCCGGAAATAAGTCTAAGAGCAAGGGTGTACCCGCCTTCCCCCAATCCACCTTTCATTTTCTTTATGAGTTTTCCCAACTTCCCACCATTCTCACAATGCTCAGGAACTTCTTCGGATTTTCCCAGAAAAACTGCAGTCGTAGGGGCGAAGGAGGAAGAACGAGATTGCCACCAATCGACCACTAGCTTATGGACTGCGTTCATACTTTGCGCA